GCGGAAACCAGTTGAATATTAAAAACAAAAATTGTCATAGCAAAATATTCATTTATTTGTCTGTTGGGGAAAATGTTTGATTTTTTTTTTTTTTTTTTTTTTTTTTTAATTTTAAATTTAGATAATTTCTTTGTAGCCCACTTGAAACGAGCTCAGACGGTATCAGAACAAAAAAAGTAAATTACTATGGCAACAATGTCCTTTATATATGTATTTGCCTATTTGTTAATCCGGAATGAGCGAACCCTTCTATGCTTTGTGTTGCATTTGGCCAACAGTTGACACAGATTGTCAGAATTTTGTTTTTGCTCAGTCAGGCATGGAAAGCTACACAAAAGACTAGAAACCAGAGAGCAGAAAGACAGACTGAGCGAAAGAGAGAGAGAGAGAAAAAGAGAGCGTGAAGATTAAAGAATATTTTGGTGATTGTGCCGAGGACATCTGGCGGAAATTTGTTAGGATATTAGCTGACAGAATAGAAATGCTGCCAAAATATTTACAGTTAACTGTTATGTTTGCATTCGTATCCGTATTTGTAGCTGTGCTTGTACTCTCCACATAAATATACACACATACATATATACACAATCATGGCCAGGGGCCAAGCAAACGTGCTGCATGTGGCATCAGCAACAATTCAATGCTGGCCCCGCCCACAAGTCCACAATCATCCAATGCAATGCAAACCCAAGCCACCCACACGCCTGCAATTTATGCTGCGCTGTGGCCATGACTCAACTGTTTTGTGAAAGCCAACAGCATGATAAATATAATGCGTTAAGCCAAAAGCAGCGGCGTTTAAGCCAAGAGTGCAGATTCCAGCAATTAAAGTTGTATTATACGTCAGCTGAGTTAAACGTTGCTGCTGCTGTTGCTGCTGCTGCTGCTGCTGCTGTTGCTGCTGCTGTTGCTGTTGCTTCTGCTGCTGCTGTTGCTGCTGTTGCTGCTATTGCTGCTGCTGCTGTGGAGCCGTGACAGCTCGTGTGCATTATGCATGCAACTTTAAGTGTAGCACAGCGTCACGGCACGCCCCCTCGCTCGCCTCCTACACGTCACTTGGCTTGACTGTCAGCTCTTCTATTATAATCACGGCTGGCCTTTGTTACAGTTTGATGATGGTGTTTTGTTATTGCTATCGCTGTTGTTGTGGTTGTTGTTGTGGCTGTTGTTGTTGATACTGTTGCCAAGAAAATCACAAAACTAATGAGAAATTTACAATGCAGCCGCGTGAGAGCGCATCACAATATAGTTAATTATAAATATATATTAAAGAGTCGCGAAGCAGACAACATAGTTGAGAAGGTTTACAAAGAGGAAGGCAGGGATTAAATGACTGCGAGATATAGAATCGCATCTTAACATCCATTCAAGTAAAAGAAAGCAGAAGAAGAGCCAGAGAAGGAAATATAGAATGGCATAGCAGATAAAGTAAGAGAGAGACAACTACTAATACAGAAGCAGACAGAGGGATAGGGAAAGAGGCTGAGAGGAGAAACGGGGGGAGGGGAAGAGAGAGAGAGAGAGAAAGAGACAGGAGATATAGATAAACAGAGATAGACAAATACCCAGTCAGACAGAGAGAAACAGAAAGAAATCAATGATAGATAGATAGATAGATAGAGACAGACGAACAGATTCCTAAATCAGTTTCTATTATAATAAGAAGAGTAGAGCAGTTTCACATTTCAACTAGAATAACAAAGAGAGAATAATAAATTTGTATATGAGCATGTGCTAATATAAGAAAGAGGAAAAGGGAAGGTGAAACCTTCAAATGGACGCGAGAGTTTCACAGGATTCAATGCAAATACTTCCCTCACTCTTTACAATCTTCTTCTATTAACTCAATATTACCTTATTTTCTACTTAATTCAATATTACCATATCGATTCTCTCCTTCTCTCAATAGCCCAGTTATTTCCGCATAGCCTGGTAATTTTTCGCGCACTTCGGCTTCATTCAACTTTTCTTTTTTCCGCCCTCGGCATCCATTTAGATTCATTGATTGAAGATATTTTCATAAATCGCTGGCTATTATGTTCTGTTATCTCCCGCCCATTCGCAGTACACTCACATCGCTTGCAATTTCATTTTGGGAATGAGCAACCGTTGCAAAGTACAATTTTAAATAATGCCAATGGGGCTCGCCTGGCGTAAACAGAAATGCCAAAACAAACCCAACTTGTTGTTTGCACAAAAAAAATAAGTGAAATGCACAAAGCAAAACAAGGAGCGAAATGGCGAAATGGTGTTGAGCAGAGTACATAAACACACTTGGATCAATAACTGTAATCAAGGGAAAAACATGCATATTAATTTAAGAGCTCCGGCTGTAAGTCTGTCATGTCCGTGATGTATGCTGCAATACATAAATCAAGTGCTCAAGCCACATAATACTGGGGCCAAGACAAAGGCGAGTGAGCAAAGAAAAGGCTAGCTCTGACTCTGGGCCTGGCTCTGAGGTTACGTGATCCTTTCAATCGGACTTGTCATTGCCATTTCTCATTGTTTGCCAGCTGGCCACAAAGGCAACACTGGAGCTGTCCGTCTGCCTGGGGCGGAAAATGAAAGCATTCCGATTTGTAGCTGATCTCTTTCACTCACTGGCATTGGCATTCCAGGCCAGCTACCTAAGCACAAATCAGTCGCTGCTTCAATTGTCCATTGTACGTGTGCCCACTGAACTGTGCCACAGATGAGAATGAGAATCTCTGCCACATTTGTGTTATTAATAGGGATTTCAAGCGAAAAATGAAGTTCCTGTTGTTGTGTAATTGATTGCGTTGATTCCTGAATTGATGCCCAGCTTGATTCGATCAAATCTGTTGCTTTCGCTTGTCTCCTTCAGGGTTGCAAAAATTATAGCATACTTTTGTGCGCGCTCGAGCAAGCACCACCAAATATGCCTAATTAATCATTTAATTTGTCATGCCATTACACACACACACACGGTCGATAATTGATGTAATTAAAAGTAAATTAATACGCACTCTTAACTGTATATAGTTCCTTAAATTTCGTTGTGCGAGCGCAGCTGGTGAGCGAACCGTTTCCTGTGTATGTGTCCAATGGAATTTCCCTTGCATATTAAAGCGTAGGGAAATTAAAGACGTTTAATAAATTATTGCAAAAAGTCTATATTATTTGTCCATAACATTTATTGAAGCTAGCAATTTTGTGGAAGCAATATGCAGATAAAGTTTGCATATGAAGTTAATTCAATCAGACTTTGTTATTTTAATTAAATTTATCAGCACACAATTTCATAATCTGATAATCAATAATGATAATCAGATAAAATTATTCCAAAATTAGCATTAATCAGGAAGTGAAAAAATAAAATAAAAAATAATAATTTA